GGGAACCGGTGGGGAATAGGTTCGGCCGGATGACTCCCCGGCCTCAATCGGGCGATGGGGGTGTGTGGTGGGGCGTGGTCTGCGGTGGCGTGCAGGGAGGGCGGACGCACCTGCACGGCATCCGCAATCACGCCCGCCACGTTAAAACACTGGGACTCAGGTGTGTGTGGGGTGGTGGTGGATATCGATAAAATGTCTGAAAACGCTGATCCCTGGACCCGCCGTGCCTTATTCCTGCCACAAAGGATTATTATTAGGCCATATGTAAATAACAAAATAACTTTATAACTTAAAGCAAAATTGGGAAACGTAAAGTCCGAAACAAGTCTTTATATTAAGGACCATCAGTCAAACAATACTGTTTGGTCTGGGTCTAAACAGAGCGCGTTGTGTGTGACGTCTTCTTTTCTGCATGCGGGCCGCTTTGAGGGTTCACACTAAAGCGCATTTTATTTATAGTGTGAACAAGTAGACAAAAAAATCGTATTTGATCAAAAAATCGGAATTGAGCATTAAGACCTGCAGTGTGAACCTAGCCTTAGTGGTTTAGTTTTGTCCTGTTTACCACTTGTTTGTTTCTCTGTCTTTCCTGTATTCCTTTCTTTTTTTTAAAAAAACTTTATTTTCCTCAAAGGACTACACACATGAATTCCACAAAACCAAAGGCAACTTTTTGGCCATCCGGGAAAGGGAAGACCTTCTAGGGTCTGTCAGGAAAGACATTGAGTGAGTACTCAGCCACAGCACCTTCTAATTTCATTTAGCTTTTATAGCAGCGTGGGAATGTTTTAATTAATTAATTAATTATTATTTTTATTAATGTTGTTGTTGTTTATTATATTATAGTAAATGATAAGATCCTACACACGCATGCTTTCTTGTGTTTTGATCTGAAAGGGTGCTGAGCAATAAAAACGGTCAAGCACTGCTCTTATGTCGTAGACCTTATTCCTGAGAGGAATAATTGAAACTTCACTTCCATTTGGCATGTTCTTGAACAAATAGAAGATTCGTGCTCTCTCTGGCCTTGCATTGAGGAAGTGCATCCTCTCTTCAGATTTGCACAGTTTGAGGGAATTTATTGAAACGAAGGTTTCGCTAGACCATGAGTCTTCTTTTTGCAGTGGCTTATTGATCTGTGAAGGCACTGATGATGGCAAACAGTGAGCACTGCAGGATTCTTATTGATCCTTCCCCGTCCATCTAGAGTACAAAGAGAAGAGTTCTCATGCAGAGGGGTCTTGCAGGCAGGCATACATGTTCAATAGGAATACACTCACTTGACTATATATAAATATACAAATGTAGTATTCATTAAGTAATTTATAAAGCTCTTAAGGAGCTTACTATAAATTAAAATAGTTTACATTTTTCCAGAATGACCTGAGTGTGAAAAAACAACAGCTTAAACAGCGTTGGGTGCAGTTTTTGAAACTGTTTCAAAATTATGAAACTAAGGACAGGATACAGGATACTAAGCAGACTTTTGTGTAATACCAATTTGTGTCACGAGATGCTGTATCAAATCATTGGAGCCTCGAGTGTGTCTTGAGTCCAGCACAAGAAGAAGGTAAAATACCGATGGAATGACAGATATTCTGGTGAATCAGACACTGCTAGAAAATGCCTTAACCACCAGCAGCAGTAAAGGAGCAGTCAAATGCATGATTTTATTCTCTGTTTTAACAGAGGATGGGAGAGGTTATCAAATATAGTGTGAATCTTTACTTAATAAAGTATTAATCAGGATTTTCATTACATTTGAAATCACTGAAAGTAATATTTCTTTTAAGGACGCAAATGTATCTCTTTATATTAGGAGCCACTTCATTACATAGGACATCGGTGGAGCTTTTTTTTTTCCGGCCAATTGTTTTTATTTGGGGTTTTTTTCCACTTTAATGTTTGTTCTGCTTTTTCACCACTTTAAAAGCACCTTTGTCTGATCTGTGCAAAATATGCATTTTCATACAGTTTTCTAGCATGATGTGGCAACTTATTGCCTAGCAACCGGAAAATGACTTTTAATTAAAGAGACCACCCCTCATCTGAATGATCCTAAGTATCAATACTGGCAAATAATAGACAGAAAGCAATAAGATGTGACTTGAAAATATATGACAAAATTCTGTTGTCGAAAATAGCAAAAACAATTTCCTGATCACAGAATTATGGACTTTGTGTTTTTACATTGTCTTCTTGGCAGCACAGTTTAAGCCTGGGCCTATCTGAACACTAACGTAGTTACAAGATGCTTTTATAAAATACAATTTTGGGGTCAGTACAGAAATGTGTAAAATATCATGACATTAATACAGTGATGGAATATCTGGTGCAGCTAAGCATTTTCTCTTTTGTCAGGTAGAGGGCAGTAGAGCTCTTGGCTGTGAAGTAAATGGACCAGCACACGTTTCAGAATATGTTTTCCATGTCCATACTGGTAACAAGAAGGAGTCCAAACTATCTAATTGATACAAGCACTCAAATGAAACAGTGAGGCATTTATCAAACACTATATCAACAACTTGCATTGTGCTTACAGACTACTGAAGCACACACACACCACATTCATAGTAATAGCATGCTGCAGAGCTGAGCTGAGATGTAACAACCCTTCTTCTCCTGCTTTGATTTTTAAATGTCAGCAACAAAAATGACAGTTTTCTATGATTTACATTGGTGCCCTTTTAAAAAGCCTCGCCGGAGTGATGAATCGGTCTGTCAGTACAAAGAATTCTGGTCCCACAGAAGCATCAGCCCAGTTGCTAGGGTGGTCAGGTTGGGCTCAAGGCAGTCACTCTGGGGTGTACTATATGTGCTCATAGCCTTCCTCCTCCCCTGCTCGACGAGAGGGTGGGGCAGTGTTAAATGACCAGAAACGAAGAAGGCATGGGAGTCAGCAGTTCAGGGCTGCTGATAGCTAGAGATTCATCAAACAGAAAAGAATGGGTTTGCTGTGTTTACTTTGTGAGTGGTGCAACGCCCATTCATCAATTCTGACTGCTCAGTAGAGGAGAGCACGGTTCTTTTTCTGTTTCTTCATTAACCATAAAAAAATGTATTTTTCTCCTTTTTTTTCCTCTAGGAAAACAGTTCTTTGAATTTTGCTTTGTTCACTGCAGCAGCTTTAATTCAAAAGATCGGACAAAAATGACACATTTAAGGAATCATTATTTTTAAATGTCCCTGCAGTTACTCAGACCTACTTGGGCAGTTGACCAATCATGGCTCATAGTTTTATGGAAACGCAATATTTAGTCTGAAGAATTATTATTATTGCAAAGGGTGGCATCCTTGGTGTGAAAATACAAAAAGGAAATTAGTTATTTGATGCAGTGTTAAAAAAAGAATGGGTTAGAAAAAGTTGTAAAAAAAACATTTTATGTTTAAAATGCTTACCTTCTCTGTCTGGCTTTTCTGATTAATTAATCATTACATAATCACTGTATGCAATAGCCATATATGCTACAAATATTAGCAGTTTGTGTGAATTAGTAAAGCGCTACCATACCAGTAAAGCGATTAACACCTTTAATGATGTTATCACATTGCTAATGTGCAGTTTAAGGAACAAGGCCTTTACATTTTTATATTCCTTGTATATGCCTGTGTTTTTTAGTGGTCCTTGCAAAGAAGAGTGAGATCTGCAGGATAAAACGCAGATTGTCACCTCACTTTGAAAGTTAGCCAGCCTTTGGTACCCTGTGGCAATCTGCTTGTGAAAATTACATTGGCAGCCTTACAGATTGCTCCTTTTTGATTGACTTTTGATTCTGATGTATGCAAAGTTACAGAGACAAGAATTGGGATCAAGGCTGTCGCCTGTTAACTTGGGCTGTCATTTTAGATTTATTTCTTATCTACACTTTGAAAACTTGATTTTGACACACAAATAATTCTGACATTGCCTGAATGTTGAAAATTGCCATTCATTAAAAAAAAAAGTATTATTCACGAGTGTATCTGCCTGCCTTTTTAGGACATACAAGAGCGGTTCTGGGGTCAACAACAGAAGAACAGAGCTGTTCCTAAAGGAGCATGAGCATCTGAGAAAGTAAGTTCCCAAAGCATTTGTATTATTTAACCATAGCAGTTAAAAGTAGAATAAGGTTGCCACCCTAAATGTGGAATAGTCAGATTTTTTTTAGGAAAGCAAGCCGGAATAACCTTGATGGCGCAGGCCCACGATTTGGGAAAAACAAATAAAAATGTATTTTTCTGACACATTCATTTGTTCTCTTCATGCGTTTACTTCATAGAAGATGTGAAGTTCTTCTGTTAATTCATAACTTAAGGTCTTATATGAGCATGCATGACATAGAAGATCAAATCCTGATCTCTAGCAACCTTAGTATCCCACAATCTTTTGGCTGACTCTCAACCCCTGCAGAACAGCATGTGGTTCTTTTTTTTTTATGCGTTTCCCTGTGTTTGTGCCAGAGGTGTTAGATGCACACTGCATGGAAAGTAAAATTGGATAGCAGCAGGGCACACACACACACAAACATACCCACACAAAGAAACGAAACACAAATTTACCACAGAGCTATTTACATGGCCAATACATAGCAGTGTGACTGATTAGTATTTGCATTTGTTTCCCATATCAAGTTCTCAAAGGAATAATGCTGCAATTATTCCCTCTCAAAGACCTCTCCATTCATTTTCTAACAGGCTTTACCTGCTCCCACAATGCATGGCTAATATTTATATACTGAAATTGATGTTTATGTAATGACCCTTTAAAATACAGTGGGGTCTAGTTAAATAACTTTAATCGCATAGCATTTTATGGATTTTTTTTTATGTCTTTGAAATAAAGCAGTAACACTTTTACTATATGTTCAGTTAAATATAAATTTGCCTTTAAATTAGTAACTAACACGAAGCAACTAGCGCGAAGGTCAGTAACGCTCCTGTTTCAACAACTTTAAATTGTATTTAACAGGTATCTTAAATGTTAATCTAGCCACCTCCTCCAGCTTGTTTGAGGAAACACCAAGAGATTCCCAGGGCAGCTGAGAGATATTATCTGTCCAACGTGTCCTGGATATGAATATGAGAAAGCTCATTTCTGCCGCTAGCATCCAGAACCTTATTCTTTTGGTCACTACCCAAGGCTCTTTACAAAAGTTGAGGGTAGGGACGTTGGACGACCAGTAAATCGAGACCTTTGCTTTTTCGCTTTGAGTCAATCTCCCACTCCCCTTGCCCATCACTCCTAAACAGGACCTTGAAATATTTAAACTCTTCCGTGGGACAATAACGCATCCCTGACCCGGAGTGGGCTCTCCATCTTTTTCTAGCTGACGACCATGGCGTAAAACTTGGAGGTGCTGATTCTCATTCCGTCGCTTCATACTCGGCTGCAAACTGCTCCAGTGTATGCTGGAATCCACCACCCGATGAAGACAACAGAACCACGTAAATGACAAAAAGCAGAGACGAGACTCTGAGACCGCCCATATGGAAGCCTTCTGCCACTTGGCTATGCCTTAATCGTCTGTCCATAAAAATGAACAGAATCTGTGACAAAGGGCAGCACTAGCAAAGTCCAAAACCCACTGGGAACGAGTCCGACTTATTGCTGGCTATGGGGACAAAGCAACAGTTTCTGTGGGATCGAATGGGTCTTAGCAACGGGTCCGACCACGCATACTCCCGAAGCATTTCACACAGAATACACAGAGGGTATGGCTTCTGCAAGTTCACAAAACACATGTAGATTGCTTGGTCTACCTCCCATGAACCCTCAATCATTCTCAAGAGTATAAAGAGCTGGTCCAGTGTTCCGTGACCAGGGCAGTTATTTGGGACAAAAACCACATTGTTCCTCCTGTATCCCGAGGTTCGACTAACCATCTGTTAGTCGAACCTCAGATACTCTACTTTCCAGCACCCTGACATAGGTTTTGGGAGGCTAAGGAGTGTGATCACCCTATAGTTGGAGCACAACCTCTGGTCCCCCTTTTTAAAGATGGGAACAACCACCCCAGTTTGCCAATCAGACCTTTGGATTGTCAAAGATCTTTTACCGTCCAACAATATTCTTAGTTAAAGTCAGCAGTGCTCCACCCGCACTATACACAGTGCAGGTAGACCACCACTTTCCCCTCCTGAGCCAACTGATTGTTTTCCAGAAACCATTCGAGGCAGTCAAAAAGTATTTTTCCATGGCCTCTCCAAACTCCTCCCACAGCCCAGGCACTGCCCGAGATGTGTTCTGCTTGGTCTGTTGGTAACTATCGGCTGCCTCCAAAGTCCCACACGCTAACCAAGCTAGGTTAGGACTCCCTCTTTAGTTCGATTACGCTCTTCACCTTCAGTGTCGACTATTTGGTTCGGGGGTTACACCCAGACACCAACTACCTTGCGGCCACAGCTCTGTGTAGCAGGTTCAGCAATGACTCAATGTCCCTAGTCTACCAATAGAATGTTGTCGAAGCTCTGCTGGGAGTGGAAGTGGCCTAGGGTGTACCATATGTCTCTGTGTTTTTTGTTTATTTGTTTGTTTGTTTTTTGACAGTATGTCTTTATAGCACCTATTTAATGGTACTGATAAACAGTATCAGTAAATTTAATACTGCAGTGAAAGTGTCCATGGCTCCCTCATCTCTGTATTCTGTAGGTCTGTAGTCAGTTTTATTTAATACAGTGCCAAATTACAACAACAGTCACCTCAAGGCGCTTTATGTTGTAAGCTATACCCTACAATAATACAACAAAGAAAACCCCAACAATCATATGACCCCTATGATCAAGCAGTTTGGCGACAGTGAGAAGGACAAACTCCCTTTTAAAAGGAAGAAACCTCCAGCAGAACCAGGCTCAGAGAAGACGGCCATCTGCCATGACCGGTCGGTGTGCTGTGTCTATTTTTCTCTTTGTCTTCCCCCATTTGTTTTGTGTTGTCCAGAAGGGCATGGAATGCAGTGCTGCAAATGCTGTGACTCTTCTATACTGAGCTATAGGTGGCAGCAACATGTCAAGATATATAGCAATGTGCAAATAAAGATGAAGAAGAAGAGGACTGCAGGCCAAAAGAAATGGATGTAAATAATTGAGAGGAAGGAAATGGATTCAACACATTTGTTAGAGCTCAAGGATATAATCAAAGGTATTGCTGAGTTAAACAGAATAAAAAATGAGCAGAGGTATTCTAGCGTTCACAAAACATTCAATATTTGATGGTTAATTGGAGTACAATTCAGCCTGTGTAAGTTCAGTGGTTTTCGAGAATCACATAGGTACTGCTGACTGCTGAACTGTATAACATGACATTTCATTACCATGAATTGTTCAGGTGGGAAACATTTGGTCCTAGCATTCATATGGATGCTACTCTAACACATTACTGCCCATGTTATTGGACACCGAGCAACCCCCTGATGGGGGTGGCGTCCCACAGAGAACAGTGTATCTTACCACACCACAGAAACTGCTCAGTGGATGTATCATACAACCCACATAACACAATGGATGCTTTAACAGCATCCCAGTACCAGACAGTACTCCTGTGACATAATAGCTGGAGATGGCTTCAATTTTGTGGCTGATCAGTGAATACTTAGGCGTGCTCATTTTAGCACATGAGGGAGACAAGTTAATGCTTCAAGTGCTTGAGTGGGTCGAAGAATATTTTGGCTCCAAACATCTTAACTGAATATGTAATATAAATTATTTAAAAATGAAGATTATTTAAAAACACACACACACACACAGCTAAACATTACCATTTGAGATGCCTTCTCAGCAGTCGTGCTGTTTTGCTTGTCATTTGCATTTGATCGGGATATTGTTAATTAAATTATGTTATTAAACCACAGCCCATACTATCTATAGGGCTTCCCCTTACCATTGGCATAGATGGGAGGCAAAGTGGATACTGGAGATGAGGATTGAGTTACACTTGATTGATCCTATTAAAGCCATAAAACAGGAAAGGGAAAAGAGAGAAAAGGGATGTAATGTGTTGGTGAGTATCACTGTTATCCACAGATACCCGATAAATATGAGAGATTTGAGTGAAAATCTTACTTTCCCGATTCCTGGCGCAGTCTGTGATGATCTCTTGTCAAAGGTAACTTTTATGGAAAAGTAGCATGAATAATGAGGTTTCTTTTATGTAAAGCTGCATGATCTGTTTTAATTTATTGAACTTTTTTTGCTTCATCATGCTGCCCCAATAATTTAGTGTGAAAAATGTAAATAGAAGGCCTTGTGTAATGACTGTGTTTGAACCATTTATAAATTGGCAAATGATGGCTTGAGGCTGCCAAACTGGTCAGCTACGACTAATCAATTTGCAGCCTATAAAACAGCTCTCCTGCAGTTAATCTACAAGCTACTGCAGTGAGTGAAATGCTTGCAAATCTCTATTGATTCTTAAGAGAACCCACCGAAACAAATATCAGTGAGCAACTTTTATTTATTTTATGACTTCACCTTCAGATATGAAGATTCATACCTATGTTTTATCATCTGAGAAGGGGTCCGCTTTACCATAGGAGTGAAAATATAAAGAAAGGAGACAATGTGGCAAGCATCTAAAAAAAAAAAAAAAAAAAAAAAAAAAAATCATCCTCTTCCTCCTCACCTCAAGATTCATCACCTGAGCTGAAGTCACGCCTCTAACACATGAAAATGTGTATAAACATGTTCATGTGTTCTAGATATTGTTGCAATTACTCATTTTCAGCAGCTACGATTGAGCCGGCTTTAACAACAGTAGCTGGTTGTAAGCTAATATGCCAGCTAACGTTAGGCTTCAGTGTCTTAAAAATCACATTTTCTCTCTGACAGTTTGACACTCTGCGAATTAACTCTCGTATTTGCTCTCATGTGAGAATATAATTTGAGTCCAACAATGATAGATCCACTTAAAAAAGAAAAGTTTCATTAATGCTCGGTAACAGTGGATAACAATAGCTAACAGCGGTGCTAACCGACAGAAAAGTTCATTGTATCCTCAACATCTCACCTCAGTATTGCTGTCCTCAGGAAGAAGTGAGCTTCTCTGACTCCATGACTTGTATCGGATTCTTTTCACAAAGA